GCCAGGTGCAGCTGCCCGGGAAATGATCCAGTTGCCGGTTGGGCGCATTGCAGAGCAAGCTGTGAAGTCTTCCGAGCTCCTTGCGGTCAGACCGTCTCAGGCCCAATCCGTGACAGCTTTTTCCCAGGCTGTGGAAAACACAGAGCACGAACTGCAGCAGCTTCGCCGGGAACTTAAGCAATTTGCTGCGCCGCGCCGCTGCCCTCTACATCCTACGTGCGCTCAGGCAGCACAGACTCTCTGCTACGACGCGGCCTACAGGATCTTCAAGTGGCATTGGAGAAACGAAGAGAGGCCCGACAGATTCGAGTTCGATCGTTGGACCCACTCCTCTGCGTGAAGCTGCCAATGACAGCTGGAGGACCTGCGTGCGCTGTTGGAAGAGTTGCAGCAGCAGCAGCATGCTGGCGAAGACACGTCACAGAAGTCGGAGCCCAGTGCATGCCAGAAAGGTAGAAAGCTGCATGTTACTCGGAGGGTTTTGCGCGTTGCGACATGTTGCTGTATGTCAAAGCAGCTGCTGCAGACCTGAGAACTTTTGATGCGATCTGTGCTGACAGCAGAGAGCTTTGGATTATTGAAACCATGATATGCCACGTGCGAGGTTGAAGATCAAGTTGCAGATGATCGTGCTTTGCTCGGTAGTGGCAGAGCATGGGAGAGCTTCTGGTAGGGTTCCCTGTGGTTGATAGGCCGATGCGCGCCGCCGAATGAGTGCTATGTCGGGCTCGATGCAGCAGGCACCGCCGAGAAAAGGGCTCGAAACATGACCATAAGCTGCAACAGTGCTGCACGAAAGACAGGCAGATGCTCTGCAGCAAGAGCCGCTACCTTGCATTCAGACATATGCAGATTCAGTGAACATGTCGGAATAGCCGTTGTGGTCTCCTGAGGCAGGATGTCCTCTGGAGAGACCAGCTTGCCAAGGACACCCGGTCTCTCGGGGATTCTTGGGGCGGGATGGGAAGTGAAGTGCAGGATGCAGCGGCGGCAGAGACCCGGCTCAAAGAGGTGGATGTTCTGCATGCCGCGGGCCGTGAGCGGGAGGAGGAGAGTGCAAGGGCCTCAGGTGAGACAGGAATCTTTGTGGATACTGTAGAGATTGGAACGGTCTACTTGGTCTGGATTTGCAGACGACATGTTTCGGGAGTGGCCCTGCTTTGTTAGCACATCTAGGATTAGTCATGGTTTTCGGATGTTTTCGGAGGGTCTTTGGCGATTCTGTGTCTGGAAACTTGCGTGCAGAGGCCCGGAGCATTAGAGCCTCCAGCAGTGAAGCTTGACTGGGACATCGGAAACTGAGACTTTTCAAGCAATGCCTGTCGGTGAAGGCCTCATTACATTCTGCTCCAGACCTTCCCTCATCTCTGCCCAGGTGGAGCTTTCCAACTTGGTCCGTGCCAAAGGACCGCTTGTGTTTGAATTCATTTCGGCTGGTAGCACAGCCAGTGTATGTGCCAGCGAAGGAGAGCGGAACAGCTTCGCAGAACGGCAGCTCGAAGGAGTGTGGGGTGCTTGAGAATACAGAGGAAGCTGATGACTCCTTGGGCTGGTCGCAACAAAGGCGCAAAATGGCAGAAGACAAAGCCCGCCGCCCACTCAGAGCTGGGTTCAATTTGGCGGCGTCAAAAGATGTGCTGGATCCGTTACGGAGGATTCCAAGTGTGGTCCCAGAGACCAGAAATCTTGCTTGTTTTTTGGCCAGGGTCCCTTGTTTCTTGTTCATGTTTTCAAGACTTTTTTTGCAAAATTACTAGAAGAAAGGTCGTCTCCGATGCCAGGGACCGATTTGTACTTGAGCCAGTGTGCCCCTGAACGAATGCTGGTCTACTTCTCACGTATGTGCAAGAACGATGAATCTGTTCGCATGGCAAACAGAAGTGAATCTGCCAGCGAAAACCAACGGATGGTGGCGAGACGAGGGCTCGCACAAGATGAGGTTAGTCAGTGATTTTCATTTTTTCCAACTGCTTCTTCGGGATTGTCGGCTAGCTCTGGCAGAGACGAAACCCGTGCAACAAATTGTGCTGGGATCAGACTGTCCCTCCGGGGCTTGGGCTTGCTTGGGTGGAGGAGGGTTAAAGTGAGGACCGGGTCTGTTGGTTACTGTCTTGCTCCCCGAATGACTGTGAGATGCTGAGGTATGTTCGAAGCCAAAGTCTGTGAACTGGAGAGCCAGGGCGCCCGTGTTCTCCAGCAGGCCGGCGAAATAGCTCCAGAACGCCTAAATTTTTCCGCGCTGCGAGACTTTCAGGCCAGGCTGGCGCAGAGCGAGATGGAGGATCGATTTCGATCGGAGCGTGCTGAGCAGCAGAGCCAGGAACAAAGCCACAGGCAGCTGACGGTATTAGGATGTAAGGGTTTTGCGAGCTTGATGTGTTGATGCCTTAAGCTCTTCAGAAATGGTTTCTTTTGGAGGTCCCAGGCAGCTCTTCTAGGGGAGCAGCTCAGGGCCGCCCCTTTGGCGTTGGCAGCTCAGTGCCAGCGCATCGCGCAGGAGCCACCCACCGGAGGGCAAAAACCAGCAGAACAGAACCCGCAGGAAGGTCAGACTCTTCTTTATCAGCTGCCACCGCAGACAGTGGAAGCTCCCAGCGCCAGATGCTGTGGCGTTGCGAAGCAATGTCAGACTTTAGGTGAACAGGAAAATTTGCATTTCAGCAATTCGAGTTCGCAGGTTTCTTGTTGCGAAATTTGCGGATGCAATGGTGTCGGTGGCAGTTATACAGTAGGTTTTGATAAACTTGCCTGAATTGCAAGCCCACTCAGTTGTGCCTGAGAAACCGACAAAAACTACTCACGGAGCTTGTTGCAAGTGATGAGGAGCGGCGCGGTTCGCAGATGCGGGTGAGAACTCTGCTGGCCGCTTGCTCAAAGCGTAAAGCACGCTTTTCCTTGAAGCTTGAACGGTATCTAGCTGCTGCTGTGTGCTGCATGCGCCATTCGCATTGCAAGTTGGTGGATGTCCATGATCTGGCTCAAGTTTGACATCCTTGGCACAATGGACTTCGTCACCCTGCCAGAAGTCCGACGGCTGCAAGGCGTGACGCCTGGGTTGCCGACACAAGCAGGGGCGCCCCTGCATGTTTCCAAGGACGCTTCGAAGGGTTCGAAGATAGCGGGCCTTAGCGCCGCAGGCGCTGTCCTGCTCGTGAAGCAATGGCGGAAGAGTGGGGCCAGTGGGGCCAGGGCGTCAGCCTCCGAGATTAAGCAGGCAGTGTCCGAGGGCCGCATGATCACTTTGGAGGAAGAGGCTGTACGCAAGACGCTGGCAGCCTTCTTCCTCGTCCTCTACCTGTGGCAAGCTTTTCTTGTTGTCAGCACTGGAGAGGCAACTCTCAGCATCGCAGGGTCAAGCTATTCAACACTTTCTTTGCTTTTTTCGAACGCCGTGGGCTTTGGTGGCAGTGCTCTTCTGAGTCTCTGAGGCTGTGCCGCCGCGCTGAAATGGAACATGAACGGCCCTTTTACCTTTGCTGATGCCCCTGAAGAGTATCTTGATTTCTTGCAAGAGAAGCGGAGACAGATATTCGGCTTGATCCTCGGCAGTGTTGTCAGTGGGGTCATGGGCGCCGCTGTCGTGGCCACCTTGAGAGGGGACCCCTTGGATGTCGCATTGCCGGCAGTGCAGACAATGGGGGCGTTGCTCGTCTTCTCGGCAGTGGGACTCGGCGCCTACGGCTTTACGCAAGGGGGCTCCCGCAGGGAACTCTAGCCTAAGCTCAGGCTTTTCAAGGCAGCTTATTTTCCGTCCGTGGCTCCAGTCCTCGGACCACGTGGACGCAGAAGAAATATCTAAGTTCTAAGAAGTCAAGGCCGCCGACAGGCACCGAAAGTGCTGGAGGCGCCATCCATTTTCCAGCAGAGCCTTCAGCTTTGTCCTGGCCGCTGGCACCTTGGACGGATGACGGGCCTTGTCCAGAAACCTGGCATGTGCCTGGAAAGTTTCGGGTAGCTGAGCTAGTCCATTCGCAGTGTGCACCTGCTGCCTGCGGAAAACGAGGAACCTCAGAAGCCCCGTTGATTGTGTGTTTCTGCATTGCTTCGTCATGCTAGAATGTGTTGAGATTCGAGGCCGGTTTCAGTGCCTCCTCTTCCTGAGCGGAAAGCCCATCCAGTTGTAAGCTGAAGAGAGGATCTTCCAGAACATGTCTTGTCGGCGCCCTCAGCCTGGTCGTATGTGCGACCCGCGGACGAGACCATCTTGAGCTGGGAGTGCCTGAGACTTCGGGGATCTCTCTTCGCGGGACCGGCAGCGGCTGCAGCTCAGCGGAATATTGGAACTTCTCGAAGCACGTCTCATCTAGAAGCTGACGAACAAGGCGAGCTTGCTGCATGATGGTAGTTGGCACCACGATGTGTCACGACAGTTAGCTTTCTGGATGAGCCTCTGTGGAAGAAGTCGCATGGAAGGACGCGGAAAGCTCCGGTTGCGAAGCAAGCCTACTCCAGCAGCCCCTGATGAGCAATTCAGCCAATGTGCTCCAACGCGGCATGCCTCGTTCCTGCCGTCAAACTGCGACCCGGACCCGGGATGCTGGCAGCAAAAGTCTGTCACGGAGCGAAGCTCTTGCTACGAAGTAGCCTTGGCTTCCAGGACTCGCCAGTCTTCGACAGGCCCCACAATTCTGATGTCTTCCATCCTTTTTAGGCAGTGATGCGTAGGAAGCGATGAAGGCGTAAAGTGTCAAGGGCAGATTTGAACTGGAACGTCGGGGCGAACATTTGCAAATTCCGAGCATGCTGCCCAAGAGAAACTTTGCGGAGAAGTCATTTCTTTCATCCTGGTTGTCCGCGACCTGATTTCGCGCAGCGTTTTGTCATATGTCGGGTAGGAGGTCCATTTTGCCCCGCTTGGCGGCTGGCACGTGCAGTGGAGTACTCAGTCAAGTTCACAGCAAACCGACCGATTGTAAGTGAACTTGCAGTTTGAAGCCCTCATGTGCAAAGGTGCCGCCAGCCGAATTTTGTCGCTGGCGGAGTGTTGACTTTAGGAAAGCATGGCCTGACCCTGAGACAAACCTGGCTGCAGTATCGCAGAGTGAAGACACAGCTTTTACCCGGCGGCATTGCCGCAATTCTCAAGCGTTTTTGCAAGCAAGGAGTCTGTGCAACAATATGTGGGTGAATTTCGAGATCTGGCCAAAAGACCTCGGTCGTTCCTGACGCAGGCACCAACCTTTGGCACAGAAGCCCCGAATCGCAGAGTTGCCCTGGGACAGGTGCTGAATTTGGGCTGCATCGTTTTTTCCGCGCTGATGCTCTGGAAGGGCCTCATGGTGGTAACGAAGAGTGAAAGCCCAGTTGCCATGACCTGAGAGATTCCAGCCTTTCACCAAAAGCATCAAGCCTTTGCAAGTAGCATAGCACCACTGGAAGAAAGAAGGCACTCACAGCGCTGCAATTACTTCAAAGTTAGACTCTGTTTGCACGTCGATCCACCAGCCCGTGTCGGAGGTAGTCGTGCTCAGCGGCAGCATGGAGCCGGGCCTTCAAAGAGGCGACATCCTGTTCTTCGGCCTGAAGCAGGGCGGGGCTAGGTTTCTGTACGGCTTAAGTGTCCGCTGGCCATACCAGCCCTACGAGTGAGAAATATTGGGAGACCTGGAAGACAGCCACAAGCTTCTGTCCTTGACTTTCATTTGGGAGCTGAGGTTTCTCACACTCTTTGGTGAGCCGTGCTGGACTGAGCAAGCATTACTCTCGCCCACAGATCGGGGTGCAGCGCACTTCAAGGTTCAAGCCCGGCGATGTTGTTGTCTTTCAGATAGAGGGGCGGGTGCTGCCGGCAACGTTGCACGACTAAACGAGTTGCCTCCATCGTCAACTGCCTGCTGAAGGACATCCCGATTGTCCACAGGCTCCTGAATGTGCATGAAAAGCCTGCCTGGAACTTATCCGTGTTTGACCTTGTGTGCTCGAGAGTATGAACACTTGAAATCACGCCACGTGTGAGCCAGAAGCTTGGACGAGGATGGAACACTTTCCATGCTGACGAAAGGTGACAACAACCAGGCATGTTGCCGATGTTTGGTGTCTCTGGTCCCTATGTGCCCGCTTCAGTGGAGTACCTGCAAGGTGGATGACAGAGGTCTTTATGCGGCGAGGCAGAAGATTGCTTCATGGCACTGACTCGTGCATAATGTACTCTCAGCAAGTGGAGGCAGCTCTTCCTCAGTAAAAAGGAGATCATGGGACGGGCGAGATACTTGGTTTGTGAAACTGGCGTCTGCCCGATACCCTTCTGTCGGGATCTATAAGCCATTTTGTGTTGCCAGGCGCAGGCATACCTGCCATACGTCGGAATGGTCACCATTTGGCGCGTCCCTCTGTGCACAGAAGGTGTATGAAACCAATTCAATGCGGATCTTCGGACCTAGCTGAGGCTGAACGATTACCCGTGGCTAAAATATGTTCTGATCGGTTCAATGGGCTTCTTTGCTTCTCGGCAGCACCAGTGCCTGCGCAAAGCAGCCACAGGAGACATGGTATGCCTTGTGCACGGTTGCTGTGCCCGAGGTCATAATCGGTCGTGAGTAACATCTTCCGACCCAAAGAGGTTACCAGCCATGGCCGTGGCACTTGTGCAGAACTCTAACATTGTGGACATAGCTCGTAGCCTCCATCCATCTCACCAAGAGTTGTCGTTTCATCGCGGGTTCCAGCCCGCAAGAGTGAGGGGATCCGTGCCATCCAAAACGTGCTGCGGCTCTCTTTTTGCATACATGTGCTTGCCTCAGGCACCAGAGCACGGGTCATGAATGATAACTGTGCGACCTGTCTGTTGCTGCCGAAACTTGAATCGCAGCGTAGCTGTGGCCCAGCCCTGCGGCCAACATTCAGCAGGAGCCTTGCTTGCAAGATCTGTTGCTACTAGGGGAGAGACGAGAGACAGTGACAAAAAGAAGAAGACTGGACGGACACCGACAGAAAGAAGAAGAAAAGGAAATGCGCGAGGCTGACGGAGTTTGAAGCCCATGTGATACTTTTGCCACATGGCCAACATAGCGCAATGTGTTTACTGTTATGAAGTTTTCAGGGCTGATGTTTGAGCCAGTTTGTCGGAAATGTGAAGAGACCGACAGCAGACAGAGCACTTCCTTGGTATACATGGACATGCGATTGCAAGTGATGAGGATATTGTACATGCCTAGAGACGTGGACAGATTTCCCCGCCCGTGCATGGGCTTGCTGTACGAATTTCCATCAGTGGACGCATCATGGACACGGATTCTGTTTCGACCCGATCGTGCTTCGGCGTTGAGTTCTGGCTTTTGTGGATCTTGACATGGACTTGTGCTTTTCTTGTTACTATCCGATTCAGAAAATGACCGAACAGTTCAGCAAGGAAGTCTTAGTATCGAAGCGGTTTTGTTCGAGCTTCTTTGCTGGGAGGGCTCTTGAAGCCTCGGTATCGCGAAGCTGATAGTTGTTTCAGCCTCTCTCAGAAGATAAGCTCTTGGTGAGATTTGTCCATCCCCGCACAAAGCCAGGCCTGGGTGATGAGGCTTCAGGACTGATTCGTGCACAAACGCGGCCCGGGAGGAGATTATAGGGCTGCGTCTGCGAGCTTGACAGGAGTCGCGAAAGCAAAGGTAAGGTTCACCTCAGGTGAGAATGCCAACGACTCCCGACATAAAGGCAGAAGATTATTACAAGGCCATGGCCGGCCGCCACACTGAAAAGCCAACCTCCCTGATCACTCAGCCGTTTGTGAAGCCTGCAGGTTTTAGGAGTGGATCGGAGTGCCTCCGACAGCGAAATTGCCAAAGCCTACAAGAAGTTGGCTTTGAAGTGCGCAAACCTCTGGCACCGAAAGACACGTCCATCCGGCGCTCATGGCAGGTACCACCCAGACAAGAATCCTGACAACAAAGCTCAGGCAGAAGAAAACTTTAAGGCCGGCTTGAGGATGCTTGCGGCTCGCATTTTCTCACTCTCAGCTCTACTACCGCCCGCAGGTCATCACAGAGGCCTACGAAGTGCTCCACGACCACGACAAGCGAAAAGCCTACGATCAGCCCCTCGGAATGCACGTCGCACAGATTAGCCTAGAGTCTAGATCACAAGTGCAGGTTTGGCAAAATTGGCGTGCCCGGTGGTGCCGGAGGGCCGGGAGGAGGTGCCACGAGAAGATTTTGCCGGTGCTTTCACGACGGCGTGGCTCGCATCGCCTGCCGAAACTGTGACTCCTTCTCCAGCACAATGAAGCTGGCTGTGCACATGACAAACTACGAGCTGTTCGGTTTGCTCATTGTGCTGAGTTGTCGTTTGTTCTTCTCTCTCTGGCTAGTCGGGCATTGGCAGGACCAGGCGTTTCTTTTCAGCATGCCGATGAGATCTTCAAGGCTGTGCTTTGAAGTAGAGAAGCTTAAACTCGAAACTTCGAAACTGCATGATGCCGAGTGCCGATTCGCTGAAAAAAGTTTCATTTGGCGTCCTGCCAGGCCTTCTTTGGTGCAGGGGATCCATTCTCTTTTTTCGGGGGCGATGGCGATGACGACATTGCAGGCAGCCGTGATACTTGTCTCGTGCCTTGCTGAGTCACCATGTCTCGTAAGCTGCAGGATTCTTCGGTGGCAAGGGTGGCATGTGGGGTCCTGAGCGGTGCACGAATCTTCCGCACTGCACAGGTCACCAGTCCCAAGCGAGTGAACCTGTTGGTAGTCGGGTAGTAGCGTCGATAAGCAGGCCTGGCGGAGCCAGAGTCATCTTCAGGACACCAAAAACCGCCCATGTCTCAGTATGTTGTTGGCCAATCATCTTTCCAGCGCAGGAATGGCGGCATGCCGGGTCCATGCCTCAGGATCAAGATCCATAGTTCTAGGCAAGTCATCAAGTCCGCCACACACACATATGCCCGACCGACATAAGTCCATCTCGCTGCAAGAAGGCATGGGCGGAATGGGCGGAATGGGCGGCATGGGCGGCATGCCTGGGATGGGTGGCGGTGACTTCGGCGGCTTTCCAGGCCTGCTTGCTTTTGCAACGTGAGCATGTTTCAGGCATTGGTACTCCGCCAGCACGTTCTGCTTGGAATCATGAGGCTTCGGTGGAATGGGCATGGGCCCAATGGGCGGAATGATGGGCAAAGGCGCCGGCAAAAGCAGGCCAGGTATTTCCAGGTAGATTTGTACGAGACAAGAGTTTTAGCATAAACCAGGCCGGCCCCACCTGCCTGGGCCATGCCAGTAAACACTGCCCTACTCCCAGGAAAGCTTGGCATGCGCAGGCCCAATAAGTTGGCCGCCGTGCGCTTCGCGTCAACTTAGGCCGTTGTCATCCACGGCCTGAAGTCGCCAGAGCACAATTCCAAACAAGGGACAGCTCCGCAGTTTGAAGATTGAGTGTTTCGGAGAAGACGCGTCCTTGGACAGGAAAGTCGCGGCCTGGGATGACAGCAAAGGCAGATACGAGGTCCCATCCCCGCTTCGTCACCGGAGCACGAGGGCAATTCTGTACAAGCTGAGGTCTCGCTGGATTCCGAGGAGGTCACACTTTCGCTGAGGCCCAGGGCCTGCGACAAACTGCTTTATCATGTGCAAAAAGTCGGCGAATGGGAGAGTTGTATCAGCCAGTGCGAGCCTTCTCCATTGTCGCTAGAGCTGTCATCTTAGCACACAAGTCTGCCGACGGAGCATTCTCAGGCCTGCGAACCTCACGCAGAGATGCACGATTAAGATTGCCGGAGCCTTACTTGGGTTCCATGTGCGGTGATCGAACCATGAAACTCCAGGTCGGAATTGAATCGCAGCCCGAGCTGTCGAAGTCTCAGTTCCCAGCTCCACAATCTAGATAGAGAGGGCCTCATCGAGGAATGGGAAGTCGGCGCAAATTCTGAGTTTCGACAAAGAGCAGGGAACCCAGAGCCTTCGGAGCGGAGAGGGGGCCGGTGCTTCGCGGCTGAAGTCACAGGAACTGGCGATACACAGTTCGACTAAAGGCCGCTTGACTGCAATAAAACGGAGGCGACAAGGAGACGGAAAGTGCCAGCTGCCCTGTCTTGAGACTCTCTGACAGCTATGGCTACGGATTGAGTACCGACCACGAACGACAAGTGCTCTGCAGTTCACATGCAGAGGAGCGACCCGCAAGTGGCCGGGATACACTCGGCTTGCAGCCGAGCAATGTGATCCTGCCTAAGGCATGACCTGGATTTGTTTTTCAGGGAGCGGTGCACATGTAGAACAAGTCATCAGATAGCGCACACTATTGCTGACGAAATTCTGTCGAGAAACACAAGTCGTGCCTCAATCACCAAGTTGAGTAGAATCACGGGATGCACTGGGCTGCAGCAGTATTGGTTGTATGTTCGAGCGACCATTCCGGGGAATCTCCGTGCACCAAGATGAAAGCTCCTCGACCCGGCGTCGTCGAGTTAATGCTTTGCGATCTCAATGCTGGTCCAACCCGCAACATGTAGACCAGACCAAAACCAAATTTGTCGACGCTGCCCCTCTTGCTTTGGATATGTACAACATGACCTGCAGCTGCAGGGAACCAGAGTTGTTTTGGCAAACCTGGGCAAGGAGGAGTTCAATGGTCTGCCTAGACCCAAGAGCATCAGCCATGCGTGAAGAATCCATCGCGGTCTGCACTGTTGCCCGACCAAGGATGGCAAACATCACGGACGTGCATGAAGACACATCCAGCGACCTGTCTGGGTTTCTCGTGTGCGAGGTTGCCTCGGATGGATATCGTACATGTTTGCTTCGATTGCTTGCATGTCCAAGGATACGAAGTTGCATGCCAGAATGGGAAGGCCATCAAGATCAAATTCGAGAACGTCATTTGCTAGCTGCTAGCCCGGTCGCCTGCGTGCCTTCCAGCCCGTCACCATTCGACGAATGCGAGGTTATTGTTTGTAGAGTCTCAGAAAGCAGTATCATTCGAAGATCATGGGGCAGGCTGTGATGGCAATGCAGAAATGTTGACCCTCAGACTGGCCGATTCTGCAACCGGTTTGCTCATGCAAGACGGTGGGAAGGCCAATACGACCATGAATACGCCGTCAGGATGCACAATCACACCCAGAACACGACCAAGAAAGCCTTGGCGAGTTTTCATGGTCCGCAGAGATGACGCGGCTTACGCCTCGCGATTAGTGTCCACTCTTGCAGGCACGTTCTTGTGCTTTTCAGCAAATTAGTGCCGCGTGCTCTGGTTTGTTGATTCACATGCAAGCAATATATCATATTTCTGATCTAGAAGAAGCACAGACGTAAGGGGATGCACCGAAGAGAAACGTTCTGTGACACTGGCATTACCAGTAAAGGACGCTGCATGCTGGAAACCAGGTTTGCCACACTGTCCGAAAGCAGGCTCAAGATGGTTTCAGCCCACGAAGCCACGTGCTTCAGCCGCGTGAGGTTCAGTGTGGACAGCCTGAATCCCACGGGCTGGCCTAGGCAGCCTTTGCACCAAAAACTCGCTGATGCGCCTCACCGTGCAAAGACTGCAAGAAGCACTTTCTTCCACGCTGCTGAAAGTTTCAGCACATGCCCGCTTAGCTGCGTGGTGTGTTGCGCTTGCTGCTCAAGCATGGGATGTCGGCCATGGCTGCTGAAGGGCAAAAGGAAGGGGAGCTGGCGCCTCAGAATGAAGGCGACCGTTGACGATGAAGACTGACGATGAATTGGTCAAAGGCTGGTCATCAATGCCTCTGGGGCTTTGGCTAGCAAGGTGGCGCAGCATCGTTGTAGTTTCCGCAGTGCACTTTGCAGATCTTTGCGGTGTGAACGGGCCTCGTCAACCCCCCCCCCCCCCGCGAAGTGGCAGCAGAAGAGGATGGCAACTGGGGTCCCGAAGTAGATCAAGTCGTGTGTGGGACTCGGCAGACGGGCAAGGCATTCGAAGTGGTCTTGTGGTGCAGAGAGTTCCAGGTCGACCGTCTGGCAGCTGCTGAAGGATGCTAAGCCTGGATCCGAGATCTCAAGTCCCCTGTCCCTGATCTCCGCCACGATTCTGCAAGCAAAATTCATCATCAAAGCGCAATATCCCTCCGATTCTTACCCTGCCAAGATCAAAGTGCCGCATTAAGCCAGTTCCGCCGGCCTGAGGCACCTATTTCCTCCCACGGAATCCATGGTGCAGATTACTGTGAGGTTTGGCAGTGCCGCGCTCAAAGTCGCGGCGATGTGACCAGCTAGGGACTCTCTTTCCCCTACATACGAGGCCGGACTTATGTGATCACGGGCAAGGCGGGCTTGGCAACTTGGGGCCTCGCTCGGGCCCTCTGCCTTGTCCTGGGAGCCCCAGAGCTTGTCGAGGACAGCACCTACTATGTGACGAAGTGGACAAACTCCTGAGTGCTTAGGAGAAGTCGGGCCAGCCTAACAAGCTCCTGATCCAGGTGCCAAACGACGTACCTTGCGAGGCATGCAGAATGGCGAAGTGCATTTGCAAGAAAATGTTTCGTAAGTTGGCTTTTTCTGCAAGTAAAGCAAAGCGAGTGCAGTAGGTGCAGCGCCGAGTCTGAAGTGCTATCAGAGGCAGAGGTTTGGCTCAAAGCCTGCAGCAAAACGTCGGCATGCCCGGAAGGGTAAGCATCCAGGCATAAGTTATGCTGCGTTGGCAGGGGCTGAGACTTGTTAAGCAACAGAGCTGAATCATCAAAACCTTCTAGCGGATGCAATCTCCAGATTGCCCGATGCCATGAAGTCGGGCGGTCTGTCCAAACTGCAGTCTGCAGTTTCTCAAGTCAAGCAGGCTGCAAAGATTTGCACTGCTTCGCATGCTGCCATTGCTGACGAAGACCCGAGTTGAACATTCGGTCACGGGATGTGAGGTCAATGCATTGAAGGGGGACTCTGCGCTGGAGGAGATCTGCATGATCTGCTTGATTGAAAGATCAACCACAAGAAGCCGAAGCGTCTTTCTTCAGACAGGACTCTCCGACAATCAAGGTATGTGTCCGAGTTCGGCCGTTCATCAAGGAGGAGGCAAGAGGAAGACGGAGGAATTTACTTTAGAGCTTGGCGGAATGTGCCTATAATAAAGGGACATGTAAATCGGTCTATATCTGCTGCCAAGTCCCCTGCTGTCCTGGCCCAGACCCTGAGAAAAAGCATCTAGTGCGTAAAAGCAGAAGAGATGCTTGAAGATTCCTGCCGTGGCAACTGATGCAGAAACGAACTTCTTGCATCTCGTGGAGCATTTTGTTGGAAAGCCGCGGCAAGGTGGAGGGGCAGCGATCTGGCGGAGAATGCAAGCTTTGTGTCGAGATGCCGACGCTCTGCAAGGGTGTGCAAATTCGGTTTAACCTACGGCTGTCTCGAAAGGCTGTCTCGAGGCATGGCTTGCAAGGCCCTTGCCGACTAACCAAGGACAGAGACATCTGTGAGGATGTGGAATCCTGAGGAGATTGAGGAAGATATGTCGCTCGCATGAGATTTCAAGCTTGATGCCGATTTTATGTTGAGAGCTTGGATGACATTCACGTCTGTGCAGCATCGCGAGCACCAGATGCATGCTTGTTTCCTCCTCGCAAGGCGCGGCTTCGAATTCGACAGCCGCCTGGCCGACAATCTTCCAGTGCTACTACGAGGTTTCAATTTCAATCTTTAGCTGAATTTGGTCGATCTGTGCTATTCCGATGTCGGAAGCGCCGAGGATGCTACTGGTCGCACAGCTCAGACAATCCTCTCTATGCCACGCAGGAGACGCTGCAGAAGGACTCGCGGGGTCTGACAGAAATAGCGGCTTTATGAAGTTCCCTGGGTGCCTGCCTTTCTGACCTGCAAAGCCAGGAGCTGGGGGAGACGATGCCGCTTAGCAAAGACAGTTTGCGACCTTACGTCCCGAAAATTCTACAGTTTAAACCGCCCGCGTGTTTAGCAAGCGTTGCGATTTGAGCTGCTGCTTCGCTGGGTGCGAGCGCAGCCAGCTGGCCAAAAGCAGGGATGCGCGTTGCGCGTGCGCGCGCGCGCCCGCGAGGGCTGTGCACATCCGGCTGTGCACATCCCCTGTTCAACACGACACCTAAACGCACGGAATAGTAGTGATCTGTTCGGAAGAGTCGGCCAGGACATGGCTAGCACGACTGTGCAGACACACGCTTGACAAAGGCTAGAGCACGCCATGAACGGCTTCAACAACTGCATCTTCGCGTATGGCCAAACAGGCAGCTAGGGCCTCAAAGGATCCAGGACCGAGCCAACGAAGCCACGCCAGAAGAAGCCACTCTTGCGGGCCAGGGTGCTGAGGCGGCAAGTCCTACAGCGTGCTTGGCGGCAAGGGTGAAGAGCGGGGCCTGCTTCCTCGAGTCGTGGAGGGGTGTCTCGGCCACAGTGCATTCGGATTACATGCCCGCAAAGTGCTTTAAGCCCTGTGCTGGCTTTCACTTCTAGCAAAGACTGTTTCAGGTTGTTCGATCACTTCGAGAAGCTTCCTGAGGACGTCAGCATAATCTCACGACCGAGTTGCATTTTGAACACTGACTGCTCTGTCCAGCCAGGGCGCTACATACAAGACTCTTGTGCCTCAGCTGGTCTGGCATATTCTTGCTGTGGGCTTTGTCCGGGGCAGGCCGGTGCGAAATCCGAGTGTCAAGTCCCGAGGGGAAGAATCCTCTAGAGACGGAATTCAGGTTTAGGATGATTCATCAGGGTTTGTTTCAGTCTTCAGACCGTCGCTGATTTCGAGAATCCACGGGAAGACGGTGTGCAATTCTCAAGGTTGCTTTCATGGAAATTTACAACGAGCAGATCCGTGACCTACTGGCACTTCGGCTGCATGTGCCTAGCGAGACGATTGCACAGCGAGTCAATCTGTGAGTCAGTCAGACTCGACGATGTCAGCAAATGTTGTCGCGAGGCACCTGCCACAGACAGTGAAAACAAGAAGCTAGAAGTCAAGCAGCACCCGGTTCTTGGAACCATTGTGCCAGGCAGTGTCCAGTGTTTGTAATAGCATGTAATAGCATCAGATGCACATGTGCAGCTTCCCGACGAAACCGCCAGGTTTGACGGAGGCTGCGGTTGCATCCTGTGAAGAGGTGCTAAACCTGGTGGACTATGGCACACAGATGAGGCGCGTGAATGCGCAGTGCACCGTGGGGCTGCTCCATGTTCTTGTGGCGTCGCTTTAGGGTCCTTTGCCAATCCAGGCATGTCTCGGCTACGGCGATGTGTCTTGGTCACATCGTGATCTGTCATGATTGTGTAATGTGCCACCGAAGGTGCATGGGGCAGAGTTAAGAAATGTTCTGCATTCATTTTCTGCTCAGGAATGCGACAAGCAGCAGAAGCCTGCCCCTCAAAACCACGATGCTGATCCTTTGCAAGAGGCTACGCGGTCTTGGGGGCCCTTTGCTACAGGCCACTGCATCTTCACCTTCAAGACTTCACTAACAGAACCAGATCAGCCATCGAAGGTCTCGCAGAATCTTGCCATGCATGTGGAGTGTTTTCGGCAGAGCAGCAGAGCCCCGGCGAGACCGGAGAGCCCGAGGACCCACCTCGTGGATCTTGCAGGCTCAGAGCGCGCTGGCCGAACCAAAGCCACGGGCGACAGGACTGCGAAGACAGCCTAACGCCGCCCAAATTGTGCTCTGCTTGGTTGGAGATGGTGCAGGCTCAAGGAAGGAGCAGCCATTAATCAGAGCTTGTCAACGTTGGCCAGGACCGGACCGGGTTGGTGACAAGAGTTGGCTCAATGTGGGACATGTCTCAATGTGGGACTTGCAGGGTCATCTCCGAGCTGGCGAAGTCCTCGAAGACGAAGAAGAAATCCAACCCTCCTTTCAGGGAGTCGAAGTTGACCTACATTCTCAAGGAGAGCCGTTTTCTGGCTGCTTCAACGTCAGACTTGCGTCCATGCTTGTAAGCTTCGGGCACAGGAGTCCCTGTGTGGGAACTCCAAGACGATCATGATGGCGGCCATCTCTCCAAACTTCCTGGACTTCGAGCCTGGGACCAAACGAGCCTTAAATGTGAGACCTCAGACTGAGGTTAAGATCTGCGGCGTAGTTAACCCAAGTGGGACTTTCCAGTGCAAGCCGATGTGAGAACCAAAAGCTGCAAGAGTCTGAGTGTGCAGGGATCTGGCCAAGGACGAGACTTTGTCGACATTAAAGTTCGCACAGTCCGTGAAACAGGTGCAGACGAAGGCACCGTGGGTGTATGAACCATGTTTGAACGGATATTCCGGCAAAGACAGGCGTTTGTGTGTATGTGTGTGTGTGTGTGTGTGCATGTTGTGCATTGTGAGTTTCTCTTATGAGCATTCCAATTCTGCTCCCCCTTTCGAAGCCTTATCATGACCTCTGATGCTGATTACAACGTTGCCAGGCTGTTCAAAACGTGTCCTGGATGCGACAGAATTGTCCGAAGTTGAGGGAATCCGGAGGCATTTGGAGGCATGGGGTCCTACAGCACGAAGTAGTGGGCTCTGCCTTCTTGCTTCGGTGTCATGCGCTGCAAACAGTTTTTCGAGGGCTGGGGGCACATGGCAACTCTATGGGCCTTAAGTTGTTCAGTGCTTCAAAAAGGCATTGTTCAGCCTCGCAAGGCTCCAAGAAATGTCGTGGCTGTTGTAGGCGAGTGTATGCATGCTTTCCTGTACGTATATGTTCACACATACACAGGGGCATACGATTACACAAGCAGGTAAGTGTGCCTATCGCTGGGGGCTGTATGCACCGAGGCGGTCAACATGTCCAGCGTCGAGGCGCAACTTCGTGCCGAGCTGAATGCATTGCTGCTGGGACAAGTTTAAAATCGGATCGGTCACAGCAGCCACGTTGCATCAATTGTGGGGTTACGGGGACTGGGGAGGGGTTGCTTCGCAATTGCAACGGTGCTTCGTGTGTGATGCATCGGTGAAGAAGAGGGTGACTTGCACGATAAGTTACGGCACGCCTGTCAAGCAGCGAATTCAGGAAATCACAGCTTAAGATGTACGAGGTGGGCTGTCCCCTTGCGACAGACTCGAAAAGCTTCCGCAGATGAATTACGAAGCGAGCAGTCGTGACCAGGACGGATCCCCCACTTCTTCTGCCAACGTCTCCTCCGAGGAGTTGGTGTTCCTGAAGAGGTGTGACCAAATGTGTCGGTTTTGATTTTTTCGGCCTAAGTTCACAGTCATGAAGCAGTGAGGCGTCTGGAAGAGCAGGAACAGTTCTGTGCTTACTACGGCAAGGTGACAGACTGAGTTCAGAGAGCTGCCCTGCCTTCGTCACATCCTTCAGCCTACACCGGAAGTACCTGGCACTGTGAGGATTGGGACAGCCTTCTCGCCGAGGAGAGGGAGCGAAGCTTGGTCTGAACTTGGACAAGAGAGAGAGAGAGAGAGAGAGAGAGAGAGAGAGCGAGAGAGAGAGAGCGAGAGCATGCTTCTGACGCTTCGAGGCATGGACACCCGGAGTTACCAGACTGCAGGCAGCACACGGCTTCCTAGAGGGATTGCAGTTTTACCCATTGCGCAAGGCCTGCAAGTGACCATTTTTTCTGTTCCATCAGAGCTGTTGAGCCAAGGGACGTCCCTGCATCCCTCCAAATTGGGTGACAGGGTCAAGAAGTCTCCGTCAGACAGGCGGCAGGAGAGCACACGTCTGGGAAAATCAATACTGCAAGACCCTTCAAACCTTCCTTCGTCGATAGCGCGATTTTTACGTACAAGAGCGGAAGTCTTGACGCCTCTTCGAGACTCGATCGGTGGTGAGGAGTTCGTTTTGCATCGAAAGTGCTGGTCCCTTCGCTTGTTTTCAGGACCACAGCTCCGATGCATCTCGTCAAGAAGCAGAAGCACTGATATGATTCAGAAGCTTCTTCAAGTTGTGTATCCAGTGAGACGGCAGTTGCTGCGAACTTTCCTGCAGCAAGTCGGTGCCAGCACCCACATACAAAACCTCGGGTTGCTTCATAAGTTGGCGATCTCATTTTATGCAGATTCACTCGATGCTGAAGACTGTGTCCTGCGTGCAGAACTGAGGAGGATGCAGATATGGAGGAGGATCAGGAGTCCATCACCTGCTCCCTGCGACTTGGATCAACCTGAAGGCTGAAACATGCTGAAAGCCTTCACATCACAGAGACGGTTCGAGGTTGGAGCTCGGCAAGCCGCCCGACGTGCTGCCGCCAGGAGGGAATCTTGGACGATCTTGGATGGGACTTGCAGGAAGGCGACGGAGCGAAGCTCAAATCCGCAGCTGCCAAGGAGACCGTCTTTGTGCGCGCCGATTCGACTCTCTGCTTGCTTCAGTGTTTCAGACCAGGCATTCGGCGAAAGAGGAAGACCGTCGCTTTGCAATGCCCCGGATAGCTCAGGCAGCTCTTTGGCGGTGGTGGGGCCGATGGCTCAGAGCCTTCTCAGGGAAGGTGCACGGCCGCGTGCAGAGAACCTGAACAGGCGGGGACCTGTTTATACTTGCACAAGTCTGTGGTCGGGCCGCCGTTGCGATTTATGGGTTTTCGTCGCGGCTTTCGGTTCATCTGCGGTGACAGACAGCTCGGAATCGGGTACTGGGGTCAGACGGGAATTTGATCTTGAATCGATTTCGGGATTCTGTTCTGCCTCGATTGAATTTCGGGTCTACTCCGGCATGATTTGGTGCACTTGGTTTTGAAGATGCACGTGCACATGCTAATATGACTACATCAACACGTCAGCTGATTCACCTCCCGGTGCTATCCATGTTGCACTGCAACGAGAGTACATCCAAGCTCCGTCGAACGGGAGCAAAAAATAACGCTTGCGCAGTACTCCTAACTCGAATTGGGGCGTTACTTCTAACAGTCCCATTCTAGGAGTCATGCGGGAGGGAGAGAGAAGAACACCCTGGAAAAAAAGCCTGTGACAAGCATTCGCCAGGCGCGTGCTGGAGCTTTCGCGGTTAGCAGAGGAGACCCAGGAGCTCCTAAACCGCGAAAACGGAGGCATCCCGTTGGAAGGGTTCTGGCTGGCTCTGTGCTGTCCGCTGCACTTTGTTTTGTGAGGCGAGATGTCGATTCAAGTCCTTGTGGTGGTGGATCCGCTGGACGCGGAGACCTTCGAGGCTGGGCCGCGGAGGTGCCTGCAGTGGCCCTTGCCCATCTTTGGATGGATTTCTGTTCGAGGCGGGGTTGGTGGTGCAAGCGGCCTCCTCGAAATCTTTGCCGTCGTCCTGGGCGTGGTGACTTGGATGAACTTTGGACGAACTTGGATGCAAGATGTTCTGAGTCTGGAGCGTGGCCTTGAGACGTGGCCAGGCCTCGCAACGAGTCTTCCGAGGCCGTGGCTAAGTGGAAGTCCGAATGTCCTGACAGGCAGCGTAGCGCACGTCGTACTTAGGCCAGCGAGACTGGAGAAAGGAAGGTGGATTGGTGCTCTGCGCACCTTGGACTGCAGGGCTAAGGGGCCGGTGTCCGTGATGTCGGCCTTTGGACCTCTGAAAAGCAGCTCCTGGGCATTCGGTACGGGACTGAGGACTGAACTCGAGAAACGGCTGAACTGGCTGAAGTCCAATGTGTGCCCCGCATCCAATTTACCGAAGCTGCTCGGTGTTTGCCTCCTTGCTCCTTTCCTTTTTGAGCACCGGTACATACAGTGGCACACAGACTCGCTGAACCGACTGCAACTCAGGTCAAATTCCACAAGAAGTGCAGAAGAGATGTGGCTTGCAGCGGCGCGAGCCACTTCCGGCACCTTGGCACAAGCACGAAGCCATAGCGCCATAGTGGCTCGGTCCTACGACTCCACGTTTCTGCTGGAAACCTTCTGACTTGGTTTAGCCTCCCAGCAGGTTATGATGCGCTGGAAGCTCTCCAGAAAGACAACGCAGCGATGGATACTTGGCCAGAGTAGTAACGTTCGAAGGTCTTGTGCCGCAACTTTGGTTTGTTGCATTCGCCAGGTGGCTAAGATTGCAGAGTTGGAGTCCAGGCGGTCACTGCATCCGTTTCTGTTTGTTTCGTCCTCCCATCGCGTGGTGCCAAGCTGCAGCATGAAGGCTTAGAGAAGCCGAAGGTCCACGCAGGGCTGAGAAGGCCAGGGTGTAACGTGGTGCTGCCATCGAAAGCTCCCTGAAGAAGCGCTTTGGTTCAGGAAGGGCCGAAGCTTCGCAGCAACTCAGATGCAGGGAAATGTGCTAACATGCCGATACCCTGACCCATGCAAGCCTGTCCAAAACCTCTCCAAGGTCAGAAAGCAAGGGATGCGGTCAAAGCCATCGCAGCCAGCTTCGAGACTGTAGCAGCCCCAGTGCATTTGCCGCATGGGGACAGCTCAGCAGATTTGATTCCGGATTAGGAACTGGTCGTGCGCACGTCTGAGGCCCTTGGAGCGATCGATTCCGCCCAGCTCACTTTGCAAAAAGTCAACAGCACGAGCGTCTGATCAGCTCGAATAGAGCGGACGTGATGCTACCAATGCTACTGATGTTATGGCAATGCAGGTGTTCGAGCTTGTGTACATATTTCGTAGACTGCATGAGCACAAACGTGCTCTGCACATCTGTCATTTCCAATGCCTTCGGCACCAAGTTAATGCGGCCTGCTGCGGAGCTCTTGAGGCTCAGGCCTTTGCATGCATTCTATCATAAAGGGATCCAAACACAACAGGGCCCCCAGAGATCTGCAGAGCCTTTGAATCGCTTCCAAGAACACATGAGCGGCGTTTGCAGAAAGGTCTAAGTCTAGGTCTCTTAATTTTGCGATATTGTAGGAAGGTCCTCACCTGCCGGGTTATGCCTTGTACTTGTGCTCTTGCAGGAGCCTAGGGCTCGAAGAGAAAGCTTTGACAAAATTCTTGTCCATCGAAGTGAAGATGAGCCAATCCAGATGACCGTGTTGTACTGTACCACCTCAGCACCGTATTCACGACATCCGACTCGAAGAAATCTTTCGGACTGCAGTAGCTCGGCAGCGCAACATGCACTCCGGCGTTTTGAGTTGCGCCGCACAATAATTATTTAAGTCCTTTAATGCCAGAGCCTCGGCACAACAGGTGGGAAAGATCGAAGCTTGTTTTTGGGGACTCGATGGAGGCTTCTTGTCAAGCCTGCGCCCAATGGTGATGCGGGCACTGACAGCTGGGAGCTCGTGGGAGCTATGGGAGGCTTTGAGCTGGGAGCTTAGACTTGATTGAGCGACGTGGAGGGACTGCAACGGTCTGCAAGCAAAGGAACCGTGCGTCGGCTTTCATCTCCCAGCAGGACGAACAACTGCAGCCTGAGCCTTACAATCGCCAACGCAAAGCTGAAATTTTGTGACTCCATACTCCACTGCAATCGGTTGCAAGATGGCAGGCCAGTGCTGCGAGAGGTCACCTGACCGCAAGACGCATACAGCCCTTGCGCGAGAGCCGAGCGATCGATGCTAGGTGTTGCAGCTCTCGCGGCTAGCTGTGGGAGCTTCCACAGGATCCTCAGAGCTCTCTGCGCTAGCGGCGGCCCGGCAGCAGTTTCAAATCCGTTGTGACGTGACTGTTACCCCAGCCTCGCCCGATGCGCCATGTCGTTTTCTGAGGCCAAAGTTCGCCAGCTGGCAGCAAGCAGACCCGGCCTCAGTGGTGACTATCCGCTGCCACTTCCGACACTGACACCACAGACGATGAATCCGACACAGACTCAGCATACCAGGCACAGCTGCAGCCCCACTACTGGAAGCTGTGGACTTGCATGGTCTGGTCGAAATCTCGGGATTGCGCTGTTAGATAAGGTTTGCTCGCTTGAGTGGCTTCTTCCCCTGCTTGCAAGCATCTCACTAAGGGGGAGTGCGTGGCACGCCTGCCTGGACGGTCAGTCCACACGCTTTGCCATTGCATTCTTAATTATACTTTATCCATGTGTGCCGTTTGATTGCAGAGCAGCGTTTGGTGCAAAGGATCATGTGCTCAGCTTGTCAGCTTCACAGAGCATGTGCTTTCAGCAAAAAAGTTGGATCTGAGGAAATGTTGACCGAAGATATCTGTGAAGCCTTTCGTCGAGTGGTCGAGATTCGCAGCTGCCAAGCAGTAGCCCGCAGATTTCAGGAGCCGGGCGCAGAACAGACTGGCAGAGGTCAAACTGTTGATGATGGAGTGTTCTGCAGTATGTGTTCAAAGCATGGAGGGGTGCAGGGCCGTGGGGCTTCTGATCTTGAAGGTTGTACAGAAGTTGCTGATGAGCTGGTACCTACTGGCGGGTCGCCGTTTATGTTATATGTCAAGTTGGCAGCAGCATACAGTATGCCAAGCTAAGCACTGCCTCCAGCGTTTCCACTCAAAACCCAAAAGGGGTCGTGCGGGATTGAAGCCCGACAGAAAGACGAACAGATAGCGAGGTAGACGTGACGAAACGCGCTTGGTAATACCCCAGCAGAAACGAGGGGCGAAGGTGTGTTTTCCTCGTTCTGAGGACCTCAATGAGGCAGTTCTCGGATGAGTGTAGCTTCTCAGTGTTTGCTGAAGTTTTTTCCGTCCTTCGGGGAAAGCACAATGCATGAAGTTGCTTGCCATCTTGTCTGCTGAGCGGTTTCCAGCTTGTTTGGCCTTACCCAAGAGAAAAAGATAGATCCCTCGCTTGATTGATAATGGCCTCGCGGCAGGATACGGACTTTGCTCCCCTTCTCGATGGCAATGAGCAGTGGCGTGCCGAGCTCGACTGCTGGAAAGCGCTGCTGGCGCCCTTTCCTTGGACCAATGCTCGGGCATCGGTCATGAGCCGCTCCTCTTGACCTGGCGTTGTGAGCTGCTCTGCATATTCTTCCGGTGGCGTCTGAAGTGTGAGGTCAAGTGCTTGCTGCGGCAGATCTCTCTGAGCCGCTGACCATGCATCCCCAACTCGTGCCCGAGAGTGCACTGCTTTCTTGAGTCGTCTTGGAAGGTTCTTGATCTTAGTTTTTGAAGCGGGACCGGTTCCATTCTGCACGAGCCAGGGCATGAAAACCACCTCGGCCAGAGACCCTTGTGACGAGGTGCGCTCTTTCGAGATACTTCGTTGCTTGGGTGCCGACCTGTTGGACAATGACACGAAAGGCGCTCGTTGTTGGAATCGTGGTCGTCGGCACCTGACTTCGTGCGGCCTTGCCTTCAGGTTCGGTGGTGAGACTGCAGCGGCACGGGGAGAAACTGGCTTGCTGGGCAAGCACGGAGATCACAGAGAACACGTTGCTTGCTTATCGGCAGAGCGTTACTTGTCTGGAAGATCGTGTTTGATGAAGCTCAGGGTTAGTAGCTCGCGTGGCGAAGACGGGACTGCTTATTCCAACCGTCCTGTGTGAAGTTCGAGAACTTAGAAACCGTTAGCTCCTGGGCAGCGTTTTTCGCAGTGCGCCAGAGCCCAAGCTGAAGGATCCCATGACAGCGGCTGCTGGTAGCAGCCAGGCTGCCGAAAATTACCAAAACGAAGCGCCCTGAACAACTGCCGTTGTCGCCCCGTGCGTTCGCACAGTGAGGCTCTCGTGGAAGCTTTTTGATGAAGTGATGCTGCTGCTGCTGCTGCTTCTCATGGGGCACGACTGATCCTCTTGGGTTTCAGGAGCACCTTCGGCTCTAAATGCTTCCGCCGAGACGCACAGCACGCTGTGGGCACTGCCGCGATGAGCAGCCAGACAGCAGCGGCTTTACAACTGCTCTTCGACTGGTTGCCTGTCCGCCGATCGACAAATCTAACGTTCCAGGCACTGCAAAGCAGAGGGTTTTCGTCCTGGAATTAGCCGCACGATGATGCTGACTGGCCTTGGGGTCCCGGCGCCGGAGTGAGTAGTTTGCAGCGAAACAAACAAACAACGGCACGCCTGCAAGCTCTGCATGTATTGATCTGCATTGCCTGATACATCAAACCGCCAAGACTTCGCAAGCTGGCAAGCTTACATCGGAGAGAGTCTCCGGTACTCGCCACTCTCACCAAGTTTCTAGCATATTCATTGCCGTCTGTGAATCCTTGTTTTCTGCGGCTGATGGAACACCAGTCCGTAAACCCGGCACCTAGGCCTCTGCGCAGGGATGGCACGCACAAATCTCGTTATATACAGACCTCCGGAAAAGACCTTGACGAGGGTTTAGGTTGAAGGGAAGCGTGCGCAGGGCCGGGAATCAGGACGTCCGCGGGGCTCGCGCATTGTCTGTACTTTTCCTGACGGCCTAAAGTGATTTGTCCATTTTGTCATTTCTAGACTGTCGACGGAACGCTTGTCACGCCTCAGGTAGTAGGTCGCAAGGAGAGCGATGTGGTGTCGCTCAAACCAGCAGAGGCAGCAGAAGAAGCTGCACAGGCACATAGAGCTTCTGCAGCGGTACTTGTAGGGTACTTTGGAGCTGCGCAGCGCAGCTTCCAGGTACAAAGATTGAGCTTTGCACATGGCCACTGACTTTGTCTCCACAGGCAAGGGGAGCACTCGACGCCGCGGCGAAGAAGCTACTCGCAGAGATCAGACTGGAGTGAAGTTTGGGTCGGTGTTGACTTCATTGGCGGGCCGAGCGAGTTGGCGGTCAGGCAAGTTGGAACCATTTTGGGCCCTTATGGTTGTGCAGGGAAACCTTGTGTTGGGAGATGGTAGCAACGCCTCAGGATCCCATATCATTCCAGCAGTGCAGGTACACGGACTGCCACGAGTGCATCGGATATGGAGTTCAAGCACAAACAGTCTTTTCAATTCGTGTGATGCTATCATGAAACGGCACTGGCTTGCACAGACAGCGCTGGTTTAGCAGTTTAGTATGACGTCGTTACAGCATGCCGACCTGAGCAGCCCACCCCGAGTCACAACTGACCTCCACAAGCAGTTACTTTCGGTGAACTTCCGAGTTTGCTGAGGCTTGGCTTCGTCCCGTCTGCACTCAGGGGCCGAGTGCCAACACTGGCGACGCCTGATCGCAAGAAGAGAAGAGCTGTTTTCTTGAGGCATTCGGGAAGCGACCAGGGCAGGGCTCGGGAAGGCCGACGTGTTCCATCTGCCTACTAGCTTGTCCAAGCATCGGGAAGCCGTGAAGCATCGTGGCGCAGCGCGGGGTCACGTGGCATGCGGCGACTCACGAATTCCCAGGCTCGTCCGCTTGGCCGCGTCGCGGCCCGAGTGTATCTTGCTGCAGGTATGGCAGGAATTGGAATGCTAGATTGTTTCGGATGAGGCGAGCACTTCGTGAGGTGGACGAGGCAGCTTTGCCACCAGATTCTTGGTGGCAGGATCTGACGATCAACTGATGTGGACAGTTGTTCTTTTGAGGCATTCTGCAACACTGACACGAGTCCAGCACGCATGCATGCGAGGTAGTACGGCAGCAGGTAGTAAGGCACAGTGAGAACTCAGCATGAACATTTAACTGCAGAATTGCGACGGCAGACCGTAACCCCTCGAGGTGAGTTCTGCACGCGGGAGATCAAGTTTCCATGTTTCGACTCAACCTCCACCATCCCC